AGTGCAAAAGGCACAGAGATAAAAGATGAAATGTCTTGTTAGAGGAACTCCATAGAGAATTTACTCAATTTTCCAATGGCCTTCTGAGTCTTCCTGTTTCACAGGTACCGAAGGAACACTTGGGCTTTCCATCTTTAACCTTCACTCTTTTCAAATTAAATTTCATTTATTTATTTATTTTAAAAAGCAGTAGTGGGGCAGTTAGGTGGTTCTGTGGATAGACTACCAGCTCTGGAGTTAGGAGTAGCTGAGTTCAATCCAGCCTCCAGCAGTGTGACCTTGGGCAAGTCATTTAACCCTAGTTGTGCACACCTCACGACCCCCCTCCTCCAAAGCAATGGTTACAGACATGAACATTTCAATATACAAAGAACAAAAAAGAGGATTTATATTAAACAATGAATTTAGACTTTAAATCTAACACAGTAGTAACAAAATGGTCCTGTTGTTTATGTCCCTTCTGAACTTTATTATCTTCTGTGTATTTTATTAATGGTCTCAATAACTTCACTTTTGCTATGACTGTCCTTCATTCTTTTTTGATCATTTGTTTCTTTCCTCAATGGTATTTCTTCTTCTTCTGGAGCACAGTTTGTCTTTAGAAATATGCTGTAGTGCCTGTCTTTTGGTCTTTTGGGTCACCAGCACCTTTTAATTCCTTGGGTCTTGTGTTGTTTTATTATTTGTAACCATAAAAGCATCACTAGAAAAGCATTTGTGTTGAAAAGATGTCTTTATATACTGGAGAGCAGAGAGCAGTGTGAGATCATGAAAAACACTATGTTGTCTTCCCAAATGTAGTCCAGCCTGCTTTCTAGCCTTCATTTTGAGTTCTGAGTCTAATTCCTTGGCTGTCCGTATTGCCTATCCCAGATATGTGTACATACATACATACATTCATACACATACACACATGTTTGTTCATGTGTTAGTATTCTGAACAATAGGTATTTTTATATTCAACCGTTTTTTCCTGTATGGATTGTTAGGCTTGACTCCTAAATCTTCACGAATCTCCTTGAAGTTTTGTAAAGGTCCAAGGCAATCAGAATGATTTCCCTCTATTTAAATACTAGGTCCTTGAGGACAAGATCTGTCTTTCTTATTTGTACTTAGCATAGTACTTAGTGCTTAATAAATGCTTTTTAATTCATTCATTTTCACAGAAGAGCTTCTCCAGGATCTTACCATCCTAAGGGAATCCCTTTTCCATTTGGACTTTGTTCAAAACATAACATGACAGCAATGAACTCCTTTGGAGAGTATATATCTGCCTCACATGGTATTAATAATCAGAAGGTTATTATACAGACTTATCCTTGTGACTGCATTTATCAGAGAATCTTCCATAGTTTTAAAATGTTCAGAGGGAATTTTACTGAGTCAAATCTTTTTTTTTTTTTGTGATCAACAAACCAAAAACACTATAGAATTTTTTGCATTCTTTGTATCTCTCAGTCACTTGTGTGATTATAGAAAGGTTGTCTACTGTTGAGAAGCATTTGTGAAAATCTGCCTATTTGCTCCTCATATTTTCATTGATACTCTCCTACTGACCTGCTAAGTTGTCTTTGGCATTTGTGGGTTGAGAAGTCTGGAAACTGCCACAGCTGCCTGTGATTTAGTCCGCTGAGGCCTGATCTTTGCCTGGATGCCCATGCTGAACTGCGTTCCTCTCCCAGCCCCGCATGATAGACCTTTTCAATCAACCACCCAGGCTGTCTTGGGCTGGAAATTTGTTTCACTCTGCCTTTTTGTGGGTTCTGCTGCTCTAGAATTTGTTTAGAGTCGTTTTTACAGGTATTTTGCAGGTATTTGGTTGACCAATTTTATCTATCCATCCATCCATCTATCTTGTAGAAGATAACAAAACAATAGGAAAAAAAAATATTACTCAATACCTCTAAAAAGTGATTTAAGTGAACTACCACTATTTTCTTAGTTTATATGAATATAAATATGCATAAATATAATGTACCTTTATATGAATAATCTACAGGTGTATTGGAGAGTAACAAGGGGTGGAGTCAAGATGGTGGAGAGCTCAAGCAAGTCACTGCTTTTTCTCTACCATGTAAACCAGAAATGGTGAAAATTAAAGTTTCTTTTCATCACTGCTCATTTTTCAGCTTCATTTTGAGTCATGGGTCATTTTTGGAACTCTTGTAGTGAAGTGATTCAAGATTTGAACCCAGGACTTTAAATCTAGCATTCTTTCCATTGTACCATGTTAACATTGCTCACTCTAACCTAATACCTTCCTTCTTCTGCAAAGGGTATATATAATACTTAAGCAGGAAGTTTCGAAATACTCTACAAACCTTTGCCCACTTTCATTAATCATATTTGAGGCACATTTTCCCAGTTTACTTGGTCATACGTTTGTGCCTACCATCAAAGTCACCAGGTATGAAAATATTATGTTTACATGGGGTAGAGGCTATTATAAAATCCTTCATATAGTTTCTCCACCTCTTTATCAGATGTTGTCATACTTCTGTGATGGCATTTTGGCATCATGAGCATTTGAAGGTGAGAAGACTATTATTTCTTGAAGCCTCTGGGTGTATGATGATATAAGCTTCTTTATTTGCCTCTCAAGGAGGTTATTGACCATCCTTCTATTTAACTTAAAGTTCTTCTTGACTTCTGGCTTTGTTTATTGTGAAAACAGATGCAGTTCCATTCTTTCAGTTGTGTATGAATTAATTGGCCATTGGAGAAATAGCTTACCTAAGTTAATGTTTATTTTTAGCACCTTCTGGTACCCATTTTTGCTACTTTACTATAGTCACTGTGAAAGTGGAAATGAGCCTCAGGGGACTAAGAGCTGTTCGAGATTGATCTTTGTTTTGTGGGACTCCGTGGCCTAGTGGCCAGCCTGCTGAAGATGAGCCTCTGTACTAATGAAGGTTGGTCCTTGGACAAGTTTCAGTCTGACTCTGGGACTATATTTGAATATTTTGTGGCACGGTATATATTGCCAGAGTTTATCTATATTTTCCTAGTCTTCAAGAAACCCACTACAATGAGGCACTGGAGTAGGACTCCTGTGGAGAATTTATTTGTTTATATGTAGTATATGAAATATTAATACATGTACTTAGAAAATCATTCTTTATTTGCATAATAATTAACACCCCTGTTAGCCATTAATTAAAGTATGACTTAAGGCCCCCAGTAATGGAGAGGGGGAGGAAAGGGGAGCTCCTCAATCAGTAATCCAGTCAGGATCTGCTTATTGTTAATTTCAAAATTTCCTGGTTCTTATAGCTATTTTTAATGTGATCATGCACTTTGTTTTCCTTATTTGAATTACTAAAAGCAAGCTATACACCATCGACATTGGAAATAATTGCTCAGGTCATAAAATTATTTTGTGACATCATAAGTCAGGAAATGTCCTAAGTTGGCCCACTGTTAAATGGGACATTGATGGTTAAAAGATTTCAAAACACTTCTTCCCTTTTACCAGATACATCAGATGTCTATAAAAACCACCAGCCTCTCAGGGATATCATCTTGAGTGTTTCAGGACCTAGGCACAGGAGAGTAAGGGTCTAATTTTGAAGTTTTGTCTCTTGATTATTTTCATGTGATTACATTGGAGCCTGTCTTCCAAACTCGTAGTAGTTGTAAGAAGTGTTCTCCTTTAAAAGGGGCACTTCTCAGCATGGTGATAATAACTTACTAAATTGTAAAATTCAAAACACAATCATAAGTATTGATGGGTTAACGTGTCAGGGCCCACTATAGCTTCTGCTATGATTTAGTCATCTACAAAATGACTACAGCACTCAGCTACCCCAATGCATTTTGCTAATTACATCATAGATTTCCCTATTGATGAACACAAGCTGAATTAACACAGGAGCACTAATGTACCCTTTCCCCATTATTGTAGTACAAGAAGCCGTAGCAGATGCTGGCAGTTAGTTACACAAACATTAGTATTAACGATTGGCCATTTGGAATTGGTGACAAACTACTGCCCGGTGGAATTCTGAGCCTGAAACCAATCAGAAAGTTAATGAGGAGAGAAATTACCACTGCAGCTTCCCCTTAATTACATTCACGCCAGGCAGGAAGGGAGTTCTGGGGGTGGATCTGAACTCATCTAAGGTTAAGAAGGTCAGAGACCCTTTTCCTTGATTTTTGTATCTATTGTGGCTTGTAAGGTTGCAAATATTTTTCAACATATTACTTTTGTGCTTTTCATATTTAATTTTTGGGTTTCTAGAGGCTTGTTACAATTTTGTATTTTTGAAAAAGTTTTTTAATTCTTTTAATCCCCTTCTCTTCTCCTCATTTACTTGCTTACACTTTTTGAAAGTGTCTCCCATCATTCATTTTTTAGGCTGGCCCCCAAATAGAAGGTTTGTACCAATTATTACAAAAAGAAATAGAAACAGTGTATATATTGTTAAAGAAAATCAACTCCATTTTTTGTTTGTTATTGTTGGGGAACTAGAATTACCTATGGTATGGGAAAATTGCAGGATTGAGTTTTGCATGTGAAAATTTGTAGGATCACTTGCTTGACAAGTTTTATTGGCTTTGTTTACATAATCTATATGCGTATGGACAAATGGGAGGGGGAGGGGTAGAGAAGTGGAGAGATGCTTTCTACAAGAGAAGTGTATTTTCCAAGACTTGGAAGAGAGAATTGGAACACGGTGTTCTTGGTTCCCATTCCCAACTTTTCCACTTAATATTCCTGGTCCATAATTCTCCTGTCTTTGTCTCAAAATGTCATTGTGTTAAATTAAGAAAGGAGTGCTGCAGACATGTTGTTACTTCCTATTCTGAAGGAATAGCAGTGAGTTGTTATAAAAATAATTGGAAGTAAATTAATAAATAACAGGGGTTAATGAAGTACAAAATGCTAATTTCTTTATTGTCATTGTAAAGAGGTTGTACAGTTGCTACACAGAGTAAAAGAAAACTTTGCTACATTTAATCCTGAGCTCTCTCTCTTTCTTTCTCTCCACTCCTTCCAG